AAAATAAAATAAGAAGGCATGATTCTCCATTCGAAGTAAATAATGTCACTAGAATAAATAGAAAAGTAACTACTGATGGGAAAATTGAATATATCTAAATGCTTGTCCAGAATTTAAACGTCAAAAATTAATAAAAGAATCAATATCAGTAAACATTTTAAATTATCATGATGCCAATACACAAATTCCAAAAAATTCTTATGAAAACGTAGCTGCCAAAAATACAAATTTACAACAATATCAATATATATACTAACCAGTATACACGACAAACAAAAAAGGAAGCACTGACTATAAATAATTTACCAAAAACTAACAAAGCCCAGACCTTGTAACAATTGAACACCGCGAACTAATCTCTCATCCTAGAGCTCCAGGCCCAAAAGTAGCAACATTTCATAATTCAACATACAGTCAAAATTTGAACACATTAATTCTACAAATACACCAAGAAAACTTAGGCTTTAATGTCGTTGAAACACTGTTAGTATTAGTTACAGTTATAATAAATACGCCTAGAGAAACAAATAATTTTAATGTATTCAAAACAGATTTAGAAAACCTAATTAGTAAACAAATATAAATATGTCAAATGTGTCATCATGTTCGCAAACCTAAAAGAATATAACATTTTGCAATGGAACTGTTAATCAGCAGTTTCGAATAAAGAAAATTTGGAGTACCTTCTCCATGAAAATAAAATTTCAGTTGCACTTCTATCCGAGACCTGGTGTAAACCAGGGAAATATTACAATTTTAAAAGATATAATGTTATAAGATCAGATAGAAACGATGACTACGGCGGAGTAGCGATACTAATTAAACATAATCTTTTATTTAAAGAAATAATTATACAAAACCCTCTCAATATTATTGGATCGAAGTATTCCACTCACGGATTTCACCACCATGGGTACCAAATCACCCATATCTGTCAAGACCTGATGACTAGCGTTCCCAGTAAAAACTGAAACTTATTAAAACCCTTTGAAATGTGGGAGTTCTAGCGAGCACTAAAGCAAAATAACAATACTTCGCCTGGAAAAGAGAATATCTCCTATTCAATGATATCGAATCTACCAAAAGACCAAAAAATATGTCTTCTACATATATATAACTCTGTTTGGATGGGCCATAGCGCAATACCAGAAACTTGGAAAGAGTATATCGTTTTACCTATATTATAAACAAGTAAAAAACCAGATAATCCAAACTCCAATCGACCAATTTTTTTAGCATCATGCATGTTTAAAACATTTGAAAGACTTTGAGCATTGGCTAGAGAGAGAAAATATTTTACCGAAGTCCCAATATGGGTTTAGGAAATCTAAATCTACCTTAGAAGCTTTAACATCATTAGTAGCTGACGTACTAATAGGATTTACTCAAAAATCAACTACCATAACATCATTTGTAGATATAAGCTCAGCCTTTGACAACGTTAATCTTGAAACTTTATTCTTAAAGCTAATTTTCATTGGCATCCCAACACAAATCTCCTTTCTGATAACATCCTTATATTCAAACAGACTAACCTACTTAAAGATAAATCAAGTACTCTCAACTCCTCGTTACACACATCTCGGACTCCCACAAGGGAGTATATTAAGCCCATTGCTATATATATTGTATACAATGGACATAGAAAGTTGTTTAGAAAATACAAAAACTATCCAATTTGCCGATGATATAGTTCTTTACTCCAGTGATAAAACTATTCCTAAATCTAAAGAAAATCTTAACTCCACTTTACTTAATGTCCACAATTGGCTAAATGCAAATAATCTCACACTCTCGGAACAAAAATCAGAAGTCTGCATATTTTCAAGAAACAGAAATATTCCTCAAGGACAAATGGAATTAGGGCCTTATAATTTCACAATTAAAAGTTCTGTAAAATATTTAGGTCTATATTTAGATCGAAAGTTGCTATGGAAAGATTGTATACAACAAGTTATAAGAAAGTCCGGGAATTCAATCAACACATTAAAAGCCTTCTGTTTTACAAAACGGGGAGCTGACCCAAATATCGCTCTTTTATTTTATATATTATATATAAGGTTGTTGTTTATTTATGTATTTTTTTGCTTATTTATTTTATTTTTTACTTTTTTTACAATTACTTACATTTTTTTTTTAATTGTATAGTCTCCCGAGTATGTTTATTTAAAAGGTGTTTTTTTTTTCTCGAGAGGTGATTTTCCCTCGTCTTTTTCCTCGAGAGTTGATATTCTCTTGAGTAATTTTTCTACGAGAGGTGGTTTCCCTCGAGTCTTTTTTCCTCGGGTGTTATTTAAACCATATAAAAATATTATTTGGGCCCTTTACGTTTTTTATTTTCGGCATTTCATTAAAACTCGCATAAAAACCATGATTACGTCACCATCTTGCATGTTAAAGTTAGGTAATTCTTTTTAATAATTGTTTTATTAACAATTTATATTTTAACCATTTTTTTATTACTCTATAACTTTTATTTCAATTCTTCCCATGTTTCCCTTTGATAAAATAATAAAATGTCATCTGTTAAACCAAGGTTCTTAAAGAAAACCCACCAATTACATATATATTGAATAGTATAGGTCCGAGTACTGTTCCTTGAGGCACGCTATAATCACTAGTAATATTATTTATTCTTACAACTTGGTACTTTTCCAATAATAATTTGTTCACGTAAGGTTCATATTTTTATAATATCATGAACGTATAATAATTTAATTTCAAAATATTATAAGATGTCGATTATTCAAAATTTTCACGTAAGCCAACAAGGAAGTTACATATAATCCAAAAATAATTAATAATTAAGTAATATATTTATTCTAACAGGTGCTATATGTGTGGGTATTTAATATTAAATAAATTAATTATTGATCAAGGTTTGTAAAAGTGATAAATGCTAAAAATGTCATGGTGCCCCAGATTTGACTAGGTCTAGTTCAATATCTTTCTATTTTTTTTGCAAATAAATTCAGGAACCGCCTTCAAATTTGACCAGTTGATAATTATAAGCTTAAAGTATAATTTGGTGGTATAGTTTATATAAAACAAAATGTTATTAAAAGTAAGTGCAATTTTATATAAAATATTAATAAATCTTTTATTGTATACCTTATAAAATAATTGTACATCACAGATATATAACAAAAATCAATAAGAAATATTAGCAAACAAAAAAGGAGTTGGTAGGTAATAGATTAAAAGTTTCAAATTAGGGACTAACCTTTAATTTAACTTCGTCATACTCGGCTAAATATAAAAAATACATATAAAACTCTGTATCTGAAACAGAAAGGAATTGTAGGTTTTTAACCTTAATTAACATATCCCTTTTTATATTACAGTCTCTTCAAAATCTCTTATTAATTTCCATAATTTCGATTGTTGTGATCCAATCAGAAGATGTGCCCAGAACCAAGCGTGGAGTTGGTTTGGGAATTGCAGGACTTGGTATTGGTGGTCTTGGAGCTGCAGGTTTAGCAGGAGCAGGTTTAGGAGCAGGGATTGCAGGTATACATTTAAAAAGAATACTATTATCTCTACAAACACTGTAAAAATGAAAGTAGATGTGATCGTATCACTCATTTTTAACTTAACTTAATCTTTAACAAAGTAATATCTAAAAAGATATTAAAGAAATGTGATTTTTAGGTGCTGGGATCCTTGGAGCAGGACTCGCAGGAGCTGGGCTAGCGAAAGTGGGAGTAGCTGGAGCTGGATTAGGACTTGGTTTAGGACTTGCTGCTAGCAAAGGTGGTCATTATGGTGACGATGAGGAAGTGCAACATATATACGTCGGTGGTCACAACGATTACTATAATGATAACTACCATCATGACCATTATCATCATGAACCAAGATATGTTCACCACCATTACTACCACTAAATTAAAGTTAGAGTAGACGTTAATTTATTGATTTTTTTAAATGTTATTTATTTATTGTTTCCATTTTTGTAGGAAAGTTTTCATTAAAATGTAAAATTGATTTTGTTTCATTTAATCTTGAATTAACTGTATAGTTGTGTGAAAAATTATGGATAAAATTGCAATAATTAAATAAGTAAGTTAGTTATATATGGAAAAAAATTATTAATAATTTTTAGAAAAAAAAATTAGGAGTTAATATCCTTCTTAGAAAGTAATTGACCACCTTCCAAACAAGAATAGAATATTTAGGATTAGTTTGGGACAAAGTAAGAGATCACGTGGCCCTTCCTTCAAAAAAGAGGGTAGCTCTAGAAAAAGATCTAAAGCAAATAATAACAATTCAGCGATGGAGTTGGAGACAAGCAAGGAGCGTATTAGGAAAGCTTAATTTCGCTACGTTTACAATACCCTTGGGTAGATTGAACTTAAGACAAACTCAACGAGCAAGCCTATGTCTTCCAGAAAATTTTCCGAAAATGTATTTCGCTGTATCAAAGCAAACAATCGAGGAATGCTGTTAATGGATACAGAACTTAAAGACTTCAACACCCATATTTCCAAAAGATCTAGAAGTATTTATAATCACAGATGCGTCGACCACTGGTTGGGGGCACACATAGAGGACGTCGCGTTAAAGGAAGTTTGGTTAGAACATCAAAGAAATTGGCACAACAGAAAAAACTCTATGCTATTTACGCGACACTAAAAAAATATGGCAAATTGCTAAGGGGGAAGACAATTCATGTACAGACGGACAATCAAACGGTAGTATCATATATCAGAAACCAAGAAGGAAAGATATCTCTGCCCTTACTGGACCTCACGTCACGTATATAGAAGTTGATTCAAAGGATGAATATCAATATAACAATACAGTTTATCTTAGTGGTAAATGCATGCAGTTTTTGATTACCTCCTAAAATAATTACGACGCCTCTGTCCGTTCGGCTAAGTTCACTAAGTTCGCTAAGTTCACACTCGTAATTTTCAACAACATCACCAGGACTATTTATAAGGTACCGCGTTATGACTCACTATGCATGACCCAACTCTCTCTTCATTCACAAGACTTAGCTACGACCTACGTCCTTCCTAATGGTACGAAATCAAGAAATTACCCAAAGAGAAACCTGCGCGTGATACCGTCGATTGCAACATTACTTTGGTTCACGGTGCCAAATCAACGTTGATGTCAGCAAAACAAGAATATTGTTGCGCTTGTTACAACAATTATTATTGTTTGTAAACGTCTGTTTGAAAGCAGTTCTTTTGTTATACATTATTTGGTACCTATTTACTTGGTTGTCTGTGATATAGTGAGCTGTGTTAATAATAATGTAAGTATATTGTAATAATATCAACTTATATTAGTAAGTTTTCAAATTACTGAAATTTGAATCACATTTAGCAAATATTGAACAGTTTAAAATTCAAATTGTTTGATTTTGAGAGTAGTAATTTAATCTGTAGTCTCCAGGTGCTTAAAATATATATAAATGTATATAATTAGATACGAATTAAATTATAATTATAGTTGATTGGTATTTAAAAGTGACAAATAATAAATAAATTTATGAAAATACAGTTTAAAGTTCATATTCTTCGATTTTGATAACAATAATTCAATTTGTAAGTTCTGAAAATATCAATTTATTTAACTGGATAAGAATACTTGTAGTCTTATTTGTCTTCAGACTTATTTTACTAACTCATTGACCTTCACTACACATTTCAATTATAAATAAAGCTTACGTTATACGTACCTATCATACAATTTTAATAAAAAAATATTATGATTTAAAAAAGAGATGAAGATATTCAAAAAAAGCTATGTATTTTAAAAAATAAAATAAGGTGGTTTAAAAATGAAAACACCTTTTGAAAATAAGATCATGCTTTATTAAGCGGTATTGGACCTTCAAAAAGAAAGCATAGTAGGTATAGTAGTTTCTACAATAAGTAATAGTAATATTAATAACAATAATAATATAATTTAATTATAAGATGATGGTGGGTGAGGTTTTCCGGGTTTTCCTCACCTGTAAGTCAAATGGCGCCATCAATCATCTTTAAGTCGCCCCGGAGCGCTACGGCAAATAATAATAATAGCCGTCCCTTCCCCTACACAAGTCGTTCAGTCGACTTCAGGGGTTGAAATTCACTCGTAAGGGGGTGAATTAGGGAGAGTATTATTATAATTAAAAAATGTTTTAAATTATTGCAATACTACAAATCCATCAAAATCACATAAATTGTATAGGTATTACGTGTGTACGATAGGAATTTTATATACAGGGTGTCCATTTAAAAACGGAACAGAACAAATTTTGGACACTTCAGGTCATTTACGAAAAATCGCCATTCCCTAAACGGAAACCCTATAGGGGGGGGGGGCAGAGAGTCACCTCTAAAATCTTAAATGGAAAGGAGGGTCGAGTGTTATTTTATTTTAAAGGTATTTTTACATAGATTATAATCGCTATTGTCTTCCTATCTATAATCTTTTAACGATTTTTATTCTTTGTTATATAGCTTAATATGTATACAGGGTGGCCACTTTTTCATTGAAATGTATTGCTATCTCGTAAACCGTTGGTAACACAAAGTTGGTTAAATGGGGAAAAAGTTGCATATTTCGAAGTCCAATCTGAGGGCGTTTTGAAAACTAAAATATCAGGTCCGGTTTCCGAGATATTCGATAAAAAACAAATAAGTACCATTTCTTTATTCCGCTACAGAACGTTTATTTGCAAAAATAGACAAAAACTCATTTGGAGTTTTTTGTTTTATATCAAATTGTGCGTATGATAGCGTATTTAGTTTTTTTATCCGACGTTTCGTAAATGCAGGACCACCATAAACTTCTTTATTTGAATATGGACCAATATTTTCTTGGCTCATAATTTTAATGCATGTTCAATGTTGAATACAATGATGTAATAACATATTGTGATTAGTCAACATTACGGAAGATTTGAACATCATCAGGTAAGTTTACAAGTACGGACCTGTGTTTTGTTAGTTAAAAATATTTGAATTAGTAAATGATGTATTATCAGTGTAAGAAATCAGGTACGTTTACTTGTACAGACCTGTATTATAAATTATTTGAAATACACAACTACATTTTAAATGCTTAAAATAATTTAATAAAAAAAAATATGTATTTAACTACTTAATCACGTCAGAAACAAATAAATGAAAACAATGATTAACGATAAGAGAAAAACTACAGTAGTTGCTCAAAATGTCCTCCTTCTTCTTGAATACATAAGTCAATACGGTCTGTCATTTGAGCTATGCTGGCAGAAACCATTTGTGGAGTGATATTATTAAACGCATTAATTATCCTATCTCGTAATTGATTTAAGTCATTTGGAATACCATCATAATATACTTTATTTTTGATATATCCCCATACAAAATAATCCATAGGATTTAAGCAGGGTGACCTAGGGGGTCATCGAATAGGTCCATGTGTACCAAACCACCTCCTGGGAAATCTTTCGTTTAAATAATTTCTGATTAATGCAGCATTATGTGGCCCACAGCCATCTTGCATAAAATAAATATTTCTTCGATCACCTAAAGGAAGATTATCTAACATATCTTCTAGCAATTGTAAATAGTTGTGTTGGTTGAGGTTTCCGTCAATAAAAATAGGACCAATTATTTCATTATTGAGTATTCCACACCATAAGTTTATTGAAAATCTAATTTGGGGTCTTACTTCTTGAATTAAATGTGGGTTGTCGATGGCATAAAAATGTTTATTTTTTCTATTAAATATTCCACTATTAGTAAATGTCGATTCATCTGTCCATAAAATTCGTCCATGAAAGGATACATCATTATTTAATTTTCGTTTATACCAACGGCAAAATTCTATTCTACGATTATAATCTCCAGGATATAGCTTTTGTACAGTTTGGAATTTGTAATCATGGTACTTATGTTTTTTAAGAATGTTTTTCATAGTATTTGCAGAAACTCCACATTCTCGGCTTATTGCTCTAGACGACGTTTCAGGGTTGATATAAACTTGAGACAAAACATTTATTTCATTTATTGTATTACGTTTTAAATATTTACCACGTTTTTTTTCAATATTTCCTTCGTGAGCCATATTTAACGCTATCCTATAATAAATTAATAAAGATGGTTGCCTCCTTCCTGGATACAACTGAAGGTATCTTTCTGCAGCTTCTCCACTATTTCTGCTACATTTTATGTACACATCGTACATATCTTTTTTCTCACTTCTACTATAACGAACCATATTTTCAATACCCTAATTAAAAATATACCAATGCTTTTATCCGATACCAGACTGTCAAATATACAATAATAAAATGTGACATGCCAGGTTAACTTGATTTAAATTTATCTGTATAATAATCAAGACGTGTTGCTAGATATACAATTATTATTGTAAGTAGGTATCTATTTGCAGTTTGTTAACTTTTTCTTTTTTATACTATGAGGAACCATATCAGTTTAAAAAATCCAACAAAATATGACAAATCAGGCTAACTTTATGTATTTAAAAATCGGGATGTACTTTATTTATAGATTAATATTGGGATTGGTCAAGTGCAAAAACCATAAAAATGGAAAATATTTTTTAGCAAATGTGTAAATGAACATGTTGTCTTGATGTAAAGTTAAAAGTTTGACTTTGGTATTTATTATTTATAATCTCTTACAACGATAATACATCATTTACTAATTCAAATATTTTTAACTAACAAAACACAGGTCCGTACTTGTAAACTTACCTGATGATGTTCAAATCTTCCGAAATGTTGACTAATCACAATATGTTATTACATCATTGTATTCAACATTGAACATGCATTAAAATTATGAGCCAGGAAAATATTGGTCCATATTCAAATAAAGAAGTTGATGGTGGTCCTGCATTTACGAAACGTCGGATAAAAAAACTAAATACGCTATCATACGCACAATTTGATATAAAACAAAAAAACTCCAAATGAGTTTTTGTCTATTTTTGCAAATAAACGTTCTGTAGCGGAATAAAGAAATGGTACTTATTTGTTTTTTATCGAATATCTCGGAAACCGGACCTGATATTTTAGTTTTCAAAACGCCCTCAGATTGGACTTCGAAATATGCAACTTTTTCCCCATTTAGCCAACTTTGTGTTACCAACGGTTTACGAGATAGCAATACATTTCAATGAAAAAGTGGCCACCCTGTATACAAATATAGATACAATGAATTTAGATAAATACAAAAAAAAATGGTAGCTCAGAAAGTGGAAGATTTAATATATATAAATATAGAACGTTGGATCTAGGAATTTTCAACTATACAAATTATTTCTGAATTTTAGTAAAATCGTTTTAAACAATTTTGGGCTCGTGTATGTACAGGAACGTTGCCCAATTGATTTTTTTATATAGGGAGTTATTTTAAAGGTACAGCGAATTTCTTATTAATATAGTAAGAAAAAACAATTTTGAAATAATAGAGCTGAAGAATATCAGAAAGTTTTGCCTCAATATATAATTGGTCACAGGAAATGTCAGGTTCTTTTTATATATTAATTTTAGAAATCTTCTCTGTAAAATCTCTAATATATGAAGGTGAATTTTCAGTGCATTACCCCAAATAAGAAGACTATATCTGAGGTGATTCTCAAACAGTGCATAATAGAGGATTTTAAGCTGGTTCATATTTAAAATTGTTGTTAAATATTTAAACATATTTAATGGGCATAACATTGGCTGTCATTACGGTTTGCATTCTTTCATTTAAATAGGTAATAAAAAAATTTAAAGAAGTGCTCCTAAACACAATATCTTTCAATGTTTGCAGGAGAATGTGATGGCTTACCGTATCAAATGCCTTTGATAAATCAAGAAACACGCATATGCAAAATTTACTGGCGTCTAATGATGCATATATTTTTTGTGTTCTGTGGATTTATTTTTCCTAAAACCATATTGGTTGTTTGATAGTAAATTGTATTTAGTTATATATGAGTTAATATCTCTTAAAATTCCGTCTGAAAATTTTACTATCTTGCTCTACGACAACCCAGTAAAAATCAATTTGTAGAGCTTTTAAAAAGAAATTTAATGATGCAAACCACTTTGTCCTAGTTTAAACGATAGTCAAGTTATTTAACAAAAACACCTATTTCTGTTAAAATTCCCTCAAATTTGATCTAAAAACCCTATTTTCTGGCCTTACGGACAACGCAGCAGTGCCTTTTTAACAGAGTTGGGTCGGATACAGGAAAAAAATATCCGAGTACCGGATACGGATACTTACAATGTATCCGGATACTTTTTAGGATACTTTCACC